TAGAGACAAAAATTAAATGTCCCTTATTAAAAAACATTAAAATTTTTAAATTTATAACTATAAAAAAACTATTTACAATTGTTCTCCAATATCCATATATTTGATTTATAATATTTTCTAACTTTTATTTCTATTAAAGTGAAGAGCTATAAATTTTGTCTCTTAAAAAAAGACATAAGTGATCTGTGAAATTTTATATACTAAATACTTTAGGAACCTATTATTATATGTATGTGTATAACTTGTAGTTTAAATAAGTTGATCAATGTTTCATATAAGCATGGTAGCAATTCTTAAAATTAAATAAAATTATTAATACAAAATAAATAAACATATCAAAACAATATAACAGATTTTTTTATATTACTTAATCAAATATACATAAATAACAACAACATCAGAAAGATTTATTTGTGATCTAAATATAGATTACCAATAAACATAAATAGATAATAATATAATTTATCAATAGATCTAAGCCAGTAGAAACATGAATAAAGTGCAATATATATTACAGATAGTCAATAAAAAAGAAGAGAATATAGTAAATATCCTAATTAATCTTTCAATAAAATATGATGAACACTCTACTTTATAGGTATCATAATAATTACTATAACAAAGAAATAGTAATCCCAATAAATCAGTAGCCATATTATAAGAAATATATACTATTTTAGACAATATTATAACTAATATATTGAGAGTTGATATAATAATTTTTTACAAAAACCAAATTCTATTTCAGTATATTATATATCTCTAATAACAAAGTAAAAATCTATAACTCTAAATTGAAGATAAGTTTATAAAAATTGACAAGAATCCTAAAAATCAATATAAATCAGAGCAATAATCAATGGAAATTAATGAACAAACAGATAAAAAATTAACAGTAGACAATAAAGTAACAATAATATATATATAAGAAATAGAAAAATTGAAATTGCAAAAACTTCAAGAAATAGTCAAAAGATAATGTATTAATGAACATAGCTTCTATACTACTAGAAATAGAGATATGGCTCCACTAACAAATTCTTACTTCATAAGAAAAAAAGAAAATTATATATTAGATGCAATAATAGGTAATATTTTAAAAAAAACAGAAGATAAAACTAAGGTGTACCTAAGTAATATCCTAATACTTTCATAAGACGAAAGAAATTTGTTAAAAAAAAAGTTTATTAATAGAAATAAATAGTTAGTTTTTTAAGTACAAGAGAAAAAAAATGTTATAAAATATATAGAAGAAGAAACTAAAAAGAAGACAACTTTGCCATTAAACATATAACATTTCTAATCTTTCACAAAAAACAAAAAATAGAAAGAAAGTTAAAGCATACTATATATTCAAAAATCGTTATATACTTAAGAAGTATAACTTTATAGTAGCTTACTTTAAAACAAAAGAAAAAAGAGATAAGATATTCAAATAATATATTTTCTTACAGGGATATCACTTTTCATAAAGTATCAAACATATATTTAACCAAAAAGGCAGAATTTTAAAGATAAAAATAGAAATATAAGATTTAAATCCAGAAGTATAAAAATAGATAATAAATCAATATCTAACTATAATTAAATAATGAATCAACAAATTCCATTTCTATTTTAGCAAGTTATTATAGCTTTAAAAATTAGAAACAAACTAGACAGTAAAATAATAATAGAATAAAATAAGAAAAAAACAAAAGATAATAATACCTTGTAATAGAGAGCAACAAAGAATCAATTAGAATTAGTAAAGTAGTAAATATAGATTTTTTGAAAATAAAACAAGATTCAAAATAGAAAGTACATAAGATCCTTTAAAGATTATTTTAGTTAACTTAAAAAAACTATATATTAAAATAGATACTTTAGAAGAATAAACAATTTTTAAAAAACTAAAACTCAACAATAAAGGAGCAAACTGCTTCTAAAGGTGTACCAGTTTTTGATAACAACTAAGAGGAGCAAGAGCCTATTATCTTCTTATCAAAATCACAAATATAAGCAACAAACAAATGCTAAAAAAAAACAATAACAAAATAGAAAAGGTAATGAATCTAGATATTTCAACATTTATATAAGATAAGTAAAAAACATTTCTAAATAACAATAGTAGATATAAACTATTAAAGAAAACTAAAGAAGAAGATGAGATATATAAAAAGGTAATCAAAATAGATACATATAATGTTAGAGGGATCATGAATAAAAAAAAATAAAAAATTTGATCAAAGAGATACTAAAATAGAGAATAGGTATTTTAAGATTATGTAAAACAAAATTAACTCAAGTTAATATATAATAGGTTTTCAACAATTAAAAAGACTACAAATATTTTTATGATACTAACAAAAATATACTATTTGAAATAGGAGTTAGTCTCTTAATTAGAAGAGATCTAAAAAAAAAATTATATCAATAAAAAAAAAAGAAAGATATATTATCATTATTAATATATTCATAAAAAAAAAGAAGATTTATATTATACAAATCTATATTCCTTTAGACAAACTAAAGTGCAAAATAATATAGAATAAGATAATTAGTCTTATTAAAAAATATATATATATAGGCAAGACTATTATACAATAATAATAGAAGATTTTAATATAACCTATAACCTATCAGGAGATAGAAAGTCATTTTTAAAAGTAAGCTTTAAATTATTGTGATAGTTTAAAATTCCACTATTCAACTTCCTTGATGAATATGATTTTATAAATATGAAAGCTATATAGAAAAGCAAAAAAAAAACTTCAATAAGAAGAAACTTAACAAGTAATAGTAAAATAAACTATATTTAAATCTCATATAGTCTAACAAGTTATCCATTACTTTAATTTAATAGACAAGATATGAAAGATGTTATGAATAGTAATTATATCATGTTTCTAATAATCTTATATAACAAAGACCTTTTCACCAGTTGAGTATTTCTTATGAAAAGAAATATTAAGAAGTAGATTTTTGAAGAAAACTGAAGAATTTTATAATAATTTAAAAACTATCTATAATTATTCTCTATTATCCAAATCATTGATTTATAATATTTCCTGTCTTTTATCCCTATTAAAATGAAGAGTTATAAATTTTGTCCCTCAAAAAGGAACATAAGTAATCTGTAAAATTTTATATGATAAATACTTTAGGGACTCATTATTACTTATATACTATATATAGTATAATTAATATAATTAACTATATATATATAAATATTAAGAATATAATATTTATTTAATATATATGAGATATAAGAAATAGTTTATAGAATAAATATAGAAGGGTATAAATAAATATATACTATACAATTATTAAGTAAACTTGAAAAATTTGAGAATACTTTAAAAGTTGAATGTAACATAAAAATGTTATATGAAAACTATAATATATATTTATATATTTTTAAATATTTTTCTTTCTTTTATTTTTATTTTTTTCTTTTGTAGTTTCTCAAAATTAATTTTTTGAAGAATAATAAACAGCAACAACCCGTTGACAATAATGTGTAAACTAGAAAAGTATTTACTTAAAACTTATTATGAAATGAAATATTGTTTTCAAGATTATACTTAGAAATTAAAACTTATTTGAAAATTAAAAACTGTTAATAAATAAGTTAACATGAATTTAATTTAATCATAATATAATTGCCCAATATATTTTTATTGGTTTTCTTAAAAATTAATAAATATACTATGCTGGCCTGACCATGGGTTTTAAAAAAATAATAATAATAAGTTGGTTATTATATAAATAATTAATATAATGTTATAGATGTTTATTTAATATCTCAATAAATATAGTAAAATTTACCATTTTCAAAGAGTTTTATATTTAAAGTGGCGGTCGAAACTTATTATGTGATCCATAACACAAAATTTACAAATTAAGCTTATATATAAATTTTTTTTTCGAATAAAATAATAATAATGATTTATCTAAAAAATATTTATAGTTAGAATACTCCTTCTATAAAGATATGATGCATGGTCAAACTTGATTCTAATTAGATAAAATTCTTAATAAAATTATCTCTAAATGCACAACCTTTTAAATACATGTATTTTAAAATTTTTCATGGAGGTGCACTTAGAGGTTTATCCATAATTTATTACGATAAAGAGAAATAAATTAAACCATCACGTATATAGGCAAAAGTTCAATTCAAATTCAAAATCTTTTGAACATAAATGAAGCAATCGGAACATAGAATCGGTTGGTTTTTTTATGCTTTCGCAATTCGTCATTGGAAAAAACCTTATCTGTTAGCAAAGTTGGTTAGTTCGTCTAATTGCCTTAAAATAAGTGGTATTTGGTGATAATGACTTTCATAAATCATCGAACACAAATAAAGATCGATCTGCCTTCCGATTATTAAAAATTCCTAAACAGGGAATGCGAAATCGGCTGCATTTATGTACAAAGTTTATTAAACACATGTTTAACATGTTTTTTTTTTTTGTGATACTGACGCGTTGACTTAGCATTAGTAGGTTTCTTTATATAAAAAATTTTTTTTCTTTTCGTCGAGGTTGATTCAGAAAATGCCATATTTAATCTATCCCTCCGAAATTGCCGCGCTTATATACTTCAAGTATTTTAAGCGATCACCATTAATAAACCCAGAGAACAAAACCAAAGTACGGTGTTATGAATTTTTGAAGCAAACTTCTCGCTCTTTTGCGACCGTTATTCAAGAATTGGACGAACAAGTGAGGGATGCAGTGAGTATCTATTCGATATTGCTCATTTAATCTTGATCAATTTGAGAAGCTTTATGATTATTGTACTAGGTTTGTCTATTTTATCTTACATTGCGGGGGATGGATACTATCGAAGATGACATGACACTCTCATTCGAGAAGAAGGAACCCCTGTTGAGAAATTTTAGCAAATTTATGTATAAAAAGGGATGGAATTATACAGAAAGTAAGTTACAAACGCGTAATTTATAATTAAAGTCAATTACGAGTGTTATCTTCATGTAACGTGTTGCTTTAGGTGGTCCCGATGAGAGAGACCGTAATTTACTTCTAGAATTTGACGTTGTCATCGAAGAATTTTCGCGTTTGAAGAAGGAGTACGTATTCCTTTAATGAAATCAAATTTAATCTAATTAATGCTATCCTAACGAAATTTCAGGTTTAGGGATATTATAATCGACATTGCCAGTGAAACGGGTAATGGAATGGCCGACTATATGACAGATGCAGCGCGTACTGTCGTCACCAATGAAGATTTTGATCTATATTGTTATTATGTTGCTGGATTGGTTGGTGTGGGTCTCAGTCGTATATTTGCCGTGAGTGGGTTGGAAAGCCCAGAGATAGCAAAGGAGATAAAATAGTAAGTTCAAATTCTAATACTCACATACTTTTTTACTGGTTAATTGACCTAAAATTTAACAGTCCGAAAGCCATGGGGTTGTTCTTGCAAAAGACAAACATTATTCGAGATTATTTGGATGATGTCGGTAATGGGCGCTATTATTGGCCAAAGGAAATTTGGTCAAGATACACAAACGATTTGGCACTTCTTAAGGAACCAGGATATGAAACGGAGGGTATTCATTGCCTGTCGGATGTTGTTGTCAATACACTTCAGCACGTACCCGATTGTTTGACGTATATGCACCGTTTGAGAAATCCAAGTATTTTCAATTTTTGCGCTATCCCTCAAGTCATGGCAATTGCTTCTTTAGCATTGTTTTTTAGGAATTACGACATATATAGGAAAGTAGTCAAGATTCGAAGGGTAGAATCCATCAAGGTAATAGCTATTTTCACTCATGAATCGGTAAAATGATCATCTTAAACATCTAATTTTGTTTCATTCCAGTTAATATTGAAGTGCAATAATATTTACGAGGTAGCGCATACCTTTCGTCAAAATATTCGCGTAATTATTGCCAAGAATGACCCGAGTGATCCGAACTTTTTGAAAATTAGTATGGCTTGTGGTCAGGTTCGTATGATTATTATTATTTTTTTTTTTTGATCAATTTTGGGTTTATCGATTGCAGCAACACCTAATATTGGTCCTCAAACTTATCAGGTTGAACAATGGTTCACAGAGAATCTTCCAGACTTGGATAGCTATCATTCATCCAAAATAGACATGTGGCTACTTTTTGGATTTCTGATTGCATTCGTTGCATATTTATTATACCATTTTAGCGCATTTTCGTCATTAGTGGCTTAGAGTTTTTTTTTTGTTAACTCTTTCCGTAAAATGACTAGATTAACAGTTGTCTTCAGAATTTCGTTTAATACATTAATTATTGAGGCAATAAAGCATTTAACAATATATTATTATGTCAAATATATTTTACTGTATTGATTTATGGAATAAGTTTTAGTTTTTGTTGTCCGGAGAAAAGCAAATAAAATAAACGTAATTTATTTTTCATAAATTCCTTAATATGCTGTCAATAGATTAACACAATTTTACCTCTAAACGTTTGTCTGCCCCGTTCAATATCAATGTCTTGTTCGTTCCACTGATAAATAAAAAAAAAAAAAAACAAAAAATTGAAGTTCTATTATAAAAAATTAAGAGATTAACTGAATCATTTAAATGTTTTGGATATCCAATGTTGCAATATAAGTAATATTATGTAAACTAACAATAGGCTTGTCTTTGTACATTATTAGTTAAGAGGCTAAACTACTTAAAATATAAAAAATTCCCTAAATAAATTTAAATTAATCAAAATTAAGTTTAAACTAAGTACTTTAAA